GTGGAATATCAATATTATTTTTGCACTATCAGTTTCATAAACATGCACAAACGTATACTTGCTTGCATACCACTTGTATGTAGTTACATTGTTACCGTGAATTATCAAGTCAGAGTGTAGCCTAGATTCACCGGAAACGTGTTCAGATCAACTGAAACCACTTCCTTATCTACCACACTGATTTGCATAAAGTTGAAGAAAGTCAGGTTTCACCAGATACATGTACATGTGTCTCTCTCAGTGAGATACAGCGCCCTCTGGAGTCATAAATCCTGCATGCCCAGGAAGAGTCTGTGTCTTTCTTGTCTCATCTCTGACGAGAGCTGCCCCTTTAAAAAAAAGCCTTTCGACCATGCAGTGCTTAATTGCCCTTGAAATGTCTACAGGAAAGCGCAGGATGATTGAGGACTGCTTTGATGAATCTGTGGGGTCTGTAGTCTCCAAACCAGCATTCACATCTGATAGAACAAAAATATCGGCCGTACTGGTATTTGATGAGATGCGACGGGTGATTCACCCCTGAAATTTGCAATGAGCGTGCAACTGCTCCTGTCTCCTGTCTTAGTCATGCCACATTAATGTGCTGGCTGGGTGACTCATGTAGCCGGCACTAAAGGGGGGTGGGGAATTAGATGCACATGTACATGTATGTATGTAATCAAACCAACGGGGGGATGGGGGCTTACCCGCCAAAGATGTGTGGGGAATTAGATGCACATGTACATGTATGTAATCAAACCAACGGGGGGATGGGGGCTTACCCGCCAAAGAAGTGGTACTGGGTAAGTTAATGCCTGATCTTTGGGTAAAGGCCAGCAGTGTATTGCTGAAGCCCTTCATGTTTACTACCAACAACCCCCCCCCAAAAAAAATCCCAAAACACAAACAAAACAAACAAACAGAAACAAACAAAAAAAAAATTAGTTGAATCCATTTTGTCTATCTGCTCTTTATTTTTACTGGATGACTGGGGACTACTGGTACATGTATGTACCTCTCTTCCTGATGGTTTCAGAAGAGTTTCTGCATATCCGACTACGCGAAGAAATCCGGGCCAGGTTGTATCAACACTCATCAACATCCCACTTGCATTACATGATGCAGCACATTTATTGTCGCCCGTCCTTTTCCTGTTGGTGTTCTCATCCGCCAGTGGTCCAGATGACTTGGTTCTTTTGACCGGTGCACAGTCCACTGCTTCACCTGCGAGCAGTGTCTGAAATGGCCTTCTTGCTCGCCACATCTCCGGAGCAGTTTGCACCGGTACTCCGGCCGCAGTCGTGGGAAGCTTGATCCATAAACCCCGCCTTGGTCGTCACTTGGTCAAGAACACGCTGGATTGTGGTAGATACATGTATGGTACTCTGATAATCACCATGGTCTTCTCCAAGTTCCATCGCCAACCTGAAAACCTGGACAGTCAAGACACCTCAGGAAAGCCTCCAGTTGCTGCTCTGCCATCAGGACGGCTCCTCTCCCCTCTCCAGAGCGCTCAAAGAATGGTCAGCCATCCATGCCACATTTTCCTTCTCCAGTCCACACAGTTTGTCTGTATTTTGATCCTGGGTACCACATGTAAATATACATATGTATCTCCTATGGGCAGACATCTCCTCCTTCCAAGAGACATTCATGAACACTGCAATTTCGTACGCTAGTATTTGCATCTCCTTTTTCAAGGTCGCCTCGACCTAGGCTTGAAAAATGACTAGCAAATACACTGGTCTTCCAGTTCTGAAGCATTTTGCCCATTTTATTCACCCCAAAAGTATGCCGAAATTCTTTTACTTTTTACTTTTAGCAAATGCTTCCCAAGTAAATTCACTCAAACACAAGTAAGCGCTTCCAAATTGGTCGTAAGACCTAATGCTAGTTCTTATTCATGCGACCCATTGTTTGCCCGGTCGGCATTTTTATCAGATTTTATGCGCCAGACATCAAATATGAGTCATGAATGTTTCAGTGGCCTGTGCTACCGGTAATTTCTTCTTGGAACTCAATACTCAAATGCACATGCACTTGTACATGTATACACACCCCGTACTATGCTGAGGCTTGTGAGCAGAATCAATTTACCTTGGACACCAAAGGCACGGTTCACCTGTCATGTTATTTCTCCTGAGGCTAGTAGGCCTTCAAAATAATAAAAAACGCACTCAACAAAAGATGTTGCATTAATGCTGGAAGCCATGCTGGAATGCTGGTTTTGCCCTTTTTTGAGTAAATTTGTACGTGCACACGTACCATAAAAGTGTTAAAGAGGGACTGAATTAGATAATCTTGTATTGAAGTTTTTCTGTACTAATCCACAGATATTGTAAATTGCAACTTCAACTTGTTCTTTGTGCTATTTGTATAGTGCCTGTAATAATTAAGTGTGTAATGAATTGGACCAGTGGCTTTTTCCGTGTGTCTATTGTTGTGCCATCCTCAAAACTCCTTTTTACACGTATTTCATTCTTGCACTTGACAAGTAGCAGTACCGGCAAATGAAATTAATCTGAGCATACATGTGCTTGTTAGTACCGGGTACGTGTAGCCTGAAGACTGCGAACCGGATGGCTTCATAAGTGGCTAACTTGCCACCCCACTGTCTCGATTACCGCGCGCTTACATGCAGCCTTTGTCTTTGACTAATTGGTTTGATTGCCTCGGCTTGAAGTGGTTGTCCTTGGCAGGAGCAATGAACCTTGCCTCTTGTTCTACATTTGTTGAGGCCTTGCTCTGCAGTGGCAGTCTGCGTGCTGCAATGTGTACGTGTGCATATATTCAGTGGCACCGAGGGGTGCTGTCGATCATGCTGCTGTGCTTATCATGCTTTCTTGTTGAGGCCAACTGAGGGCGCTGTTAGCCAGTCTGTAACTTCAAGCAGAGGGAGCACGTTTGGTGTTGCATTGACGTCAATTGTATATTATTTAGAGGGACTAGATTCCCTTCAGAATGAAGACAGAAAGCACAAGCTTTTCTGTTGTTTATCCTGCACTCGGGCTGCCAGACATAGAGAAGGGTTTCCACGTAAACCTTTTTCCCCCCAGAAATCAAACCACAATGTATTTCAGGAGTCGTATTACCAGTAAATTGGGGCACATCAATCATTATGTACAAACATGTTCATGTATGTGTAAAAGTACTGTGTACACGCTTCAGTAGATACACGGCTTTGGTAGGGTCCTTCAGCTAAAGCTAAGGCCCATATGTCTCTTCAGAATTATGCACATTTATAAAAAAAAAAAGATCTGATCCATTGTTCATGGACATGTAAGTTTTTATTTGCCTCTCGGATCGTGTGTTTTTACATTTTTAATCTGGGACAAATCTTAACTTGTGCGTGACCTTGTCTTACACTGTTCATGAGTGTAACTGACATCGCAGACCTCATCTACCAAATGAAGCAGCATTTCCAAATATTTACATGTATATGGACTTGGCCCATTTCTCCCTGAAGACTAAGACTAGTTAGTCAAGTAGGAACAGTTTTTATCAGTTGATTTGGTGCCCGGTTGATCAGGGGAAATTCTGGCCTTGAACTTCAAGAGAGAATTTCCTCGGTGTCAGGACTGTAAATCTGCGCCTTGGGGAGGGGGGGGAGAGGAAGGAAGGCAGACTGCTGAACAGCAGAAAGTAGCCCCCCCCCACCCGACTACCTTTGAACTTCATGCCTAATATGCTGTCATTTCCACCACCAAACTGGACTTCCGTCTAACTTCATGAGTTGGAAGGAAGAAAGATCAGTCATAGGACTAAAGCAAAGACCGGGGGGAGGGGGAGGGACTCAAGTGCAGCGTGCCTGACATGTACAGTTCCGAGCTACCTGAAATGAGCCCGGAAGTTCAAGTTGGCCGTGATTGAGCCTCCAGTAACTCAAACCTGCTGTCACTACTTAAGAGGATTTCCTTGTGATTAAGTGATTTCACTGGTGATCAAGGGAGGAGCTACATGTGTAGCAAGGACAATATGCATGTGCCACCGATGTGGATGAGGTTTCTTGTCAGTCTGCCCTTGCAGAGGATTACTGACGTGTAGCGATGTTAACATTTACACCCCAACTGTCACAACATGTACTTCTCCAAATCGTTCTTGAGGACAGAAGTGCGAGTAATTTGAAATGTGCCAGTAGCATAATTTGCTGAAAACCTGCTTATTTTCTGCTCGTGTGGGAATTGAGTTGTGTGTGTAGGCCTACAGCATCAGTCATCGGCTTTTATTTATGAGGAAATACATAACTGGCCTCATGTCCATTAAATAAATGCAGGTCATCTTCTAGCAGTGTTTTGTATACGGATGTTGTTCAGTCATCGTCATTTGCTGCTGTTGCGGGGGCAGCTCTCCAATCAGCTTGAAAGCTAGCACAGGCGCAGCGCTTTGCTAATGAGCTGCATGTCACCCGACGTCGGGAGAACATTACCAAGAAAACTGCGCCCTCCTCTAATCATCAGGGCTTGGGACTGGCATTTTTCAGTCCCCATCACGCTGGCGTGAGCTTCATTATCAGCATCCGTTATCCTGTGGCATGCTGGGACCGCTGTTCAGGAATATCTTCCATTTACCCAGTTGTGCATTTTGCAGCATTACCATACCACAGTTGATTGTAATCTGTACTGACCAGTCGAGGAATAAAGACATCTTTCGGTTTCCGTCACGATCAGTCACAGCCCGGAAAAACTAAAATTGGACACAGCTGTATGAAAGTGCTAGTCACAGATGTCGTTGAAGATTTCCTCTTCGGTAAATAAATCTAGTCGGCATATACGTGTACATGTACAATAAACTAACAAGTCTTTGAGAGAGGATTTTTCACGTTTTGGGCTAGTTATTATGAGCCGCACTGATCCTCCAAGTTAACATGCTTCTTCATTATCATAAAACATCATTGCGCCCCTTGGCTGCGATGAAAAACACAGACTCGGGGTGTGGCCGGCAACTGTGTGTGTCTGTGTGCGAGACTCCGACTGAGGGCCTTTATTGAAATGAAAATGAGCTTCATGTGGGCCTCGGGGCATCCGAGGGGAACATTTGATTGCAGTGAGAATGGAACAGCAAGATGTGGAATGATTGATCTCTGCTGAAATGGTACTCAAACACTGTGACTCCAAAAAAAAAAAAAAGAAAATGGAGACACTGATCACCATATTTTACAAGTAAGTTGCTGTGGATGGTCTGCTGTCGGGAGAGAAATTACGTCTCCGACTTTGACATTTTTATTTGCCTTCCAAGCCCAGTCAGAACAGGCATAAATTTCCTGAGATTATTCCCACGCACCATAAATGTGGCGATTGGCATACGGCTCTTCTCTCAGACATGCTCAGTCTTGGCCCACCTCACACCGAGGCTGCCCTTCATCAGAGTTGCCAGGAGGGATCACTCAGCAGCTCACTGTGGTGACATGTAGTCCTTGGTTACAGACCAGCCACCCCCTGATTGCACATTGGCTGGAGCGGGTGTCGCATTACAAACACTGTTACCAGCTTAGCCCTCCATCCAATCCCCTGCACAGTTTTAGGCCAGCACAGTTGGAAGGGCTCTGGCGCTGGAAACTGGCACATGCAGGATAGGAATGTGTACATGTCCATGTGTGTATTAAATGTTGCAGACTGATTGACTGACAAAGTATTTCTCCAGTTTGGACTGAGGCAACCTACATACATAATTGCACATACATGTACATGTACACTGTATGTACTTGTTACTTGTCCCTACACGGGCACTGACAGTGATGGCATATGCTTGACACTAATGAATCATGTAGAGGCACGAGACAGGGGAACAGCTTTCTGTTTGACAGTGACTTGCTTACTGGTTCACTGCACCAGCGGCTGACATGGGCTGGATTTGACAGTGTGTGTCACATGCAGCTTTGACTCTGTGGGCGATACAGGTGCGTGTCGTCGGTAGGCCACTGCTGGTAGGAAACAGGACCGCTAACAAGCCCCAGCTGACAGGAATCAACACAACTACGGGAGGATGTGCAGGACCACATGATAGCAGGAAGGAGATACCACCTCGGCTTTTGTTTGTGTGCATTTTTCATGGAACAGCAGTGTGCGGATTGAACTGGAGTGTACATGATTACATGTACATGGACAAGTGCCGTTTACGGGCCACGTATGCATGTACTGTACATGTGTGCACATCTGTAGGCAGGCCCAGGCGCGTTGAACAGGTGTATACCTCCGTGTGCAGGTTACTGTTTCTGCCGTTGCATTTGTGGCGTCGCAAACACGGTTGGACAATCATCAAAACTACCGTAGAACAAAAGAAATAAATCTAGATGACCTTTGACAAAGCGTTTGAAGCAGGACGTGGCAATTGACAGAGGAAAGTAATGTGGCAGTGTCCTGAGTCATCCTTAGTTCTGCCGCAGCAGTCTCAGAAAGGACAGTCTTTATCAAGTTTAGTAAAACCGCGGAGTGATATGAGCTGAATGGAATGTCAACCCCATGGACATTTTGAAAACTTCAACTTCCAAGAGGACTGTATTGTAACGGGATCACACCCTTGGTTCAACCATTGTTCAAGTAAACGTTGCACCTGGGTATTGTACATGTACATGCACATGTAAGTACTTTCATGTTTGAACTTGGCCTTGACTGTGAAAGAGACTGGTCTACTGTGGCACAGTTTGTGTTTCTTACAGTAGTTGATGTGATATCATTCATGGAAGGTGCCTGCTGTAGTCTTGCTTTCCAGCGGTCTGTGTAATTTCAGGTTAAATTTAAAAGATGGGAGTGACCACACCCTGGAATTGCACTCAGTTTCTGGTTACTCATCTGGCATTAGGCGAGTCCTTCCAAGTGAGTGCTTTGATGACGATACCTCAACTCTTGCCTCTGGATCATAATTAGTGCACCATACTGCTTTGTCTGGGGCTACGAGTACAGCTCAGAGGAGTGAGTAATATTTCATTTTTGTTTTCACTTAATGAGACAGCACCTTTCATTATTTTTCTTGCTGTTAATGTGGACAAGCACGGAAGTAGTTTCACTGCACAAGCCACAATGGCGTCAGTGAATTTCAAAGCCACCAGACCAGCTCTCGGTCCCCGGAGTACAGCTCCCAAAACTGTCACAGTGGGAAAGAATCCTGCATTCACACACATCACCAAGACAACTCTTAATGATATGCACCATCAGAATTCCAGTGCTAGTGACACCAAAGTATCAGTGGCAAAACAGAACTCTGGTGGCAGTGTCCACAATGGCCTGCCTCCCAAGAGCATGACGCCAGCCTCGGGAGTGACCGTGAAAAAACCAGTGGCCAGACAGCGATCAGGAAGTGGTGCAAAGCTTGGCGAGGCAACAAAGCAGGGACCTGTCTCCAGTGCCTCCAAAACCACCATCTCCAAGCAAGGGTCTGGGGACAAGATGCCAAATGGCAACTCTTCAAAGCGGGACTCCATCTCGGGTTTGTCCAAACCGACTGCTGCAAAACGAGGATCAGGTGACGGTGCAAAAAGCGGCAATCCCGTCCCGACCAACCATGGCCCTCCTGCTGGGGTCACGCCAACTGTGGCTAAGCAGGGAACAGGCAGCCGGATGCACAATGGCAGCTCCACTAGGCCATTGTCTGCTACCAGTGCAGCAAGAGTTGCCATCCCCAGAAAAGCCTCCAGTGATGGGTCTCTCAATCGCGACACCTGTAAACCGGGGTCCAACTCTTCCTCACCCAGGAATTCTATTTCGGGACGGCGTTCTGGTGACACCCCTTCTGTATCCCAGCGGAAACCGATTCCATTGCCGCGTTCAGTCAATGATGAGCAAAAGATGGGCTTGAAAAGTCAGACACCGTGTAAAACATCTACACATCAAACTGCAACTGCAGCAAAACCTATTGCCACGACTCGTCAAACTCTGGCGACCGCAGCTAAATCATCTGTCTCGACAGAGTCAATTGGCAGCGAGTCCAAAAAGATCCCTCAGAGTTCTTCATTGGCGGCCGAGGAGAGTGATGTTCCTGTTGCGGAGCCGCTGCGTGGTGGCATCATGCGGAAGGCAGCCTCAGAGAAGCGGGAGCGGGACGTGACTGTGAAATTCACCAAGAAGTCCAGCTCGGTGAAAACGTCCCCCATCCACAAAGCCGAGGCCACGCTGCGGATCATGCTGGCCCAGTCAGCCAGCTCCTCCAGTGCCAGGCTGGCATCTCGGGCCAGTCACCACACCTCGGCCTCCCAACTCCATGGTGTCACCAGAACCACCTCCAAAGAGAAGATTGATCCCGGATCACCGCAGAGCTCTTCGCCTAGAACACCAACAAAACCCAGATCGCCCATTACCTTGGCATCTGAGGTGAGAAAGATAAGCACTTCATCTTCTCGGAGTCAGACCTCGATCAGCGAGGAGGAGGCGGGACCACCTCCTACCCCTACATCACCAACACCAGCTCCGTCACCAGTAATTGACCTCTTTGCGGTTAGTATACTCAGAATTTTACAACTGTTTTCTGACAGTAAGTTGAGTTTAGGAAAAAAAAAAAAAAACCTAGAGATTGCGAACATTAACTCCACATAATACCTGAGGTATTTATTCGAGACCTCCTCCCTGAATGCTGAATCTTCCGCAGCACCGGAAAATCAGTGACACATTCTGTACTAACTTACAAAGAGCGTCAATGAATGATCAAGGCGCATGTGAAGAAGCTATGTCTGACCCCTGTCTTCTTCACTCCCATAAAAACAGCATAACATGTCATCCCAATGTCAACTTCTTGAGTTGAATTGTTTGTTGGAGGGGAAGATTTTCTTTCAATAGACTAATCCGATTAGACGCCCTAACTGCGGTGGCACTGCACTCACACGCACATTCTTCGGCTTGACGCGCGCGTGCAGTTGGCAAATCACGACACCCTATTGGTCAAAGCGCGCGCGTACCACCTGTCCACGAGCCTTGCGCCACCACAATAATGGCTTCTAATTCTGGTGGTCGAATTAAACTATAACCAAACCTTTCTGTTCAGTATCATTAGGAGATGCACGTTTTCATAGAATGCATTGTCCAATCAGTCAAGTCAAGCACTGAGCATGAGAAAAACCACCGTTGACATTTTGACAATTCACACGAGGAAGGGCACACTGCCTCGCCTGCAGCAAGAGAGTCATTCCTTGCCATCATCTTGCACATAGTATTTATCCGCAGGCTTTCCTGGGATGATTGGTGGCAGGTGCGCCGCAGATGTGTCATCCAGCTATCCTGAAACCCCCCTCCCCCTTTGTGTCACAGGATAGCAGCAGGCACACAGTAGGAAGTGATGTGTGCCCCAGATCATGCCCAGATTGATCAGCCTGATCCTATCTTAGAAAGTTATGACATCATCGGTCGTCTACCCAGGAGAATTGTGTGTCAGTGGGCTGGGGGAAAAGGAGATTGGGGGGTTGGGGACCAAGTTATTAAAAAAATATACATGTACAGCACATGCTCCTAATGTCACCGTAAAACATTTAACACTGCAGTCGGTTTCTGTCATGATACATTCGTCTGAGTATCATCTGGCCTAAGTGCTCATGGTTGAGCTGCATATTAAGAGAAGATGGACACAGTGGGACGCCTGCCTGGGGCTCATTGGCTCCACTATTGTATTGGTCATTCTTTCTTGATTAGTTCTGTCAAGCGGAGCCAACTAATTACACCGGCAGAGTATGCAGAGGGGAGTATACGCTTGTATTAAAAACATGGACATGTTGGCTGTAGAACAGGCGGTGTGTTCCACACACCACCAGATTGACTTTGGGGAGATTATGGTGTTCAACATAGGGCAAGTGTGAATTGCTTGGTGTGAGGGGACCTTCTTGCTGCACAGGGTGTCACCTATTCCCCCGGGATCCTTTATCTCAGCTCTTGTACCAGTAAGTGGCTGTATTGTCAAGAGTTCAAGAGATTTAGCACCTTGGGGTCGTTTGTCAGGTCCAGGGTCAGGTCACTTTAAAGGCCAGCACAGAGTAAGAGTATAAAGAGGATATTGTGTGAAACTAATGCGGCAGTGGTGTCTTCCCCTCAAAGTTGCCTTACATTTGTACATATACTGATACCCTTCCTTAGACACATGTACTACACTTGTGCTTATACACTGTACATGTACATGTACACATGTACACGAGTGCTTATGTACAGTGTACATGTATGTGTTTTCGTCAGTCTAGTTGTACTGGATTTTTAATGTGCAGCGCATTTGACCATTTGTTAAAAATAGAATTTGCACTTTATAAATGAATAAATTATTACACATATTCTGTACATGCACAAGCTTAATGTTCCAAAATGGACTCTGTGTGGGTAGCTATGCATAGAACATGAAAAATATATTCCTTTTTTCTCAATTGGTTCCCCTCAAGAGTTTAAACTTTGTGTTACGTCTGACATTTGGACCGATTAATGACATATGTACATGTACGCTACCTGTATAGATTTGGCTCAACACAACGCTAACATTGGTACATGTGCCTTAGACATGTACATGTATTATGTGTTTACCCGTCGGGCACAGTTGTTGAGAGCAGTTCAGCCTATGCTCTGTACAGATCTATTCAGTTTCCTTGGAATATTAAAATGCCCCATGTCTGGACTTCAGGGGCCTTGCGGGGGAGGTTTGTTAGGGAGCTGTGCAAACTCTATCAGTAGGCGATATTTTTTCTTGAGAATGGAGACGGAAGTCCAGCTTTTAGGGGGTGCTGCATGGATAGGAGGTAGTGCATCAGTAATTCCTGTTGACAAATGGGGATGGTAGGCCCATGCCGTTTTGAAACTTGATACGGCACTGTGATGGCCTGTGGGCACATGCACGTTGACATGATTATGTTTAATGTGGGTGTGATTACAATGCACCATAGAATAGCACAGCCATGCACAGTTGTGTGCGGACTTGTTTTTACTACGGTTGAAGAAGGATCATTCCGATAATCGTAAATTTTGTACAGGAGTTTTTAGCAGGTTGTTCAAATTCCAGGAAAGGAAAAAACCTTTTACTCAATGACTTGCAAACATGTATGGTTTAAGTACATGTTCATGTACCCTGGCCCCTCCCCCATATGTACAATGCACCGTTAACTCCATTCTTGAAAGCCGCTGATGTTGTTGGGAGAAATTTATTTACTCTTGAAGATTTGAGTATTTAGGGCTTCATACTCGAAATTATGTGAAATAATGTAAAAAAGTTGCTTATTGTGTCAGCCTCCACATGTGCCACGGATCACTGTGCTTCCTTCAATAAGTTGTTCGTGAATACTGTTTTCATGTTCACATATGATACGCATCGCCTTGAGAAGTCACATTTGATGATCTGTTTCTTCGATCAAGCGCTCCACGCTGGAGTTCCGTGAGCTAATATCGAAATGCAATCATTCCCCGTCATCTGCCAGCATTGGCAACTCCCGACACCCGGTACCCCTCCCCAGGAGATGGGGAGGCTCTCATCTTACCCTGACGACAGTTGCTGGGCCGGCATTTAGAGCCTGGATACAGTGATAATAAGGATTGACTGGCGAATGGTTAACCAGACCGACTCACCGGTACTGGGGGAGAGGCTTGTGAGGGAGGGGGAGGTTGGGACAAAGGGGGAGGGACATAAGGGATGATATTAGGGGTGACAGAGGGTGGATGAAGCACAGTTTGGGATGGTTTAGGGAAATCACTGGCTCTGTTGATGAAATGGAACATTTTTGGGTTGCTGTGGGATGTTCAGTGTGGACACGTCATGTACATGTACATGTGCTTTCTAAAAAACATACATACATGTACATACATACCGGTATACAGTGTACATGAACAGTACAGACACTCTTGCTGTTGTGATTGTTACATTTTTAACTTGTACAAGAAATAATGTTAACGCAAAAATTGTGGAAAAAAGTGAAACAGATAAGCAACAGAAACATGGGTTTTCCAGCATATTTTGATCATATCCTTTATCAACTTAAGGGGCAGATGTTTACACGTATATTAGTACCATGAGAAGATTTCGTAAGTGTATGTAACAGAAAATCATTTGTTGGTTTGCAAAGTTAGCGGTACATGTGCAGGTACATGTACATGTACTTTCAAGCTTATTGTAAATGTTGCATCACACATGTACCTATCCGCTATGAGCGGAACAGAAGAGGGCGTATTTGTAAATGAAATTGACGGTCCTCTTGGTACCAACTCACCGTGTAGGCACACAAGTGTATGTGCACGTTTGACGCGGAGCACGCTGAGTATGCGCAATGAATTTATTCGGAATGTACATGTATGGTCTTTGCGTACACGCAGAACGCGTGCCAGGCAAGAACCCAGTTGTAACCATTGGCCTTTCTTTCGCCGCTTGGGGGTGCACTTCAGCTTAGGGCAGATGGTATACGTACATCCAATCATTTTTGCATGCTTTGTTTGGGCACTTCTTTGTTTTTACACGTATGTAGCATAGTTCCCTTTTATCAAATTTTCAGAAGTTTTACACCTGTGTCATTCTGCCTCGGGTGACTGACTTCTTTTTTGGAATGAAAAAAGGGCCTCAGGTGGCTCCCGTGAAAACCTGTCACATCCGTCATTCATGACAGCCACGCACCTATTATCACTGAATGGGTTTTTACATTGAAATGAAATGGTGTGGGATTGCACCATCAGGTGACAACCAATTTATACATGTACCTCTCACACCTGGTAAGCAACTAACGTACACTGTAGGCCTACATGCTTTACACCCACAGCCATTATGGAAATTGCACTGAAAGCTTTCTGTGGGGTTGAAAGTGAAACTTGCACCATGTACTCATTTACAGAAAGGAGCAAAGGAAAAATGGGTTACAGGGATACTTTCTATATTGAAAAACTGATAAGTATCAATTTCTAAACATCCGGAGAAATCTTATAACTGGTACTTCCTTGAAACACAAGCAAAAATGTTTGTGCCAATTAGTGAAGTAATGTGTCCTTGTGTTTGCATTGTATTCAACCAACAAATGCACTTGGACTTGCTGCATACTAGCTGAAGTTGAAGCACAAATACTTGTAGAAGTAATAATTGGAGGGTTCTGTGCCAAGATTTGTTCCTATAAATAAAGTCCCCCCCCCTGCGAGGACAGAAGGATGTGACAGGCTTAAAATTAACACGACTCATCTGACACCCTGACATTGCCAAAAGACAAATATAGATTAGATTGTATGACTGGGCATCAGTTTGTTGGTTTAGTTCATCATTGAACTTCTCCACCGTCCTTGCCATTGTGAGCACCAACATCAGCGTAAGCCTGGATGTTCTCTCCCCCTCGCTTGTAACCTCATTAAAATGAAATCTGAAATGGAAATTGGGCACAGGACTCGAGGGCAGTGGATGTTGGTTGCCTGGTAAGAAATTCAGGGCAGACTGCAAACTTCCTTCCACAATTTGCGTCTGGAAGATAGGATTCTTAACGCCTGACACGATCAACCATGGTGAAAAAAATTGCGTTCACACTTTTCTATCTTGTTCTGAGTACATGTATCTTCCCAGTTCATGTACAAACCGTGGCTAAATTTGTACCCTCTGTGTCATTTTTTATTTCTAAAGACACAACATTATGCTCTGTTGGAGTTGGTGTAAATACTGGTTTAAAGTCTCCGTAATTTAAAACGTGAGAAAATAAACGCCAGGAAAATAAGAGTATTCCAGGTTATTGTAGACCCATGCACTGTATGTTATTCATGTTGATTGTCAATAAACAGGCGAGATCGTGACAGACTTACATGCAGTGAGATGACACACAAGAGCCATCAGGACTCGGTCAGGAATGTACGTGTACTTGTACACGTCAATGTATTGAACCAGGAAAAAAAAAGGCCAACAGCATAAAAAGTCAACATTGTGAAGATGTCCAGGCGCAAGACATATGGTCCCGCTACTTTTCCTAATTTCATTTCCGAAAAAGAGGTTGTCGTGATCAGAAATCCACTCGAGACAAATCTCATCCATCTGTGGCAGAACTGCGCTGTTATTGTTTTTCAAGATGACAAGTTTGGACGAATGGCAAAAACCAGTCCGAGTTTCCGCTCTTGAAATTCAGAAATCCAGCTAAATAAGGGCAAAGAATTCCGCTACATTGTCGTGCATCTCCATTATGTGTGGGACCCATTTTTTTTTTGAAAGGGTTTGCGGTGAAAACATGATTTATGACTAACTGGTGTCTTCTTCCAAAAAAAAATGTGCGGTGGGAGGTTACATGTATGTTGTCCGTTGAAAAATACCTACATCTTGCAGAGTCTGCTCTTTATACGCCATAGTCATAATTTTGCCCACAGCTGGCTGGTAAACTTGCTGGCAGTAAGGGCAGATCGAGGGGGAGGGGGAGGAAGTGGGGGCAATGGCCCTGCCTCCCAATAAGTTACAAAAATTTTGTTGAAAAATAATTAGAGAAAGTCAGTTTTGGGATCTGTTTCATTTCCCATCCAAAGCATGTAAACAATTTTTTCTTTATAGCAGCAACTTGACAAACAGAAGAGTTTTAAAAGTGGTGTTAAAATACACGTCGGGCAGGGCCAAAATCCAAAATTAATTTACATCTCCCCGGTGCAAATCCATCCTTGAAAAAGAAGTGTTTTCAATTACTGTGAAGCCTGTGTTACTGTAAACAGAGTACACAAAACAATCTCACAGGATTAAGAAATACACAGACCAAAAGCTGGCAAAAACATGTGCATTTTTTGTGCTTACAGTGTGTAGCATACTGTTTCAGACTTAGAACTTGAATCCTGCCTCTGCCTAGAGATCTTTCTGTGGTTTTTTTTTTGGGGGGGGCCAAATCTTAATTTTGTGCTACTTTCTCTCCTTGTCTTCCTGCACAGGAGAAGCAGGAGTTGATTGAGCCTGTGGACTACGAGGAACACATCCTGAAGAACAGAAACATTATCAACAATGACCCGCTGCGGTCTCTCATCAGCTTCCCCTATGATGATGTATCAGTAAGTACATGCCGGATGCACCGTAAGGGCTAATGAGAAAGGGGACGGGGGAGGAGGGAAGGATGGGAGGTGAATACCGTACTTCCCTTGAAAAGTTCAGCTCTTTTGATGCATACGACGGTTTTGCATGTACTGTACATGTATGTAAATTTCGCCGTGAAGCCCTGCGAACATTCACCTGTGTTTGTCTGTTCAAATTATGAGCATGGCATAGGTATCATTGTGGAGGTTTTTCCAAGTGCAGACTGTTCATCACGAGATTGTCAGGCACGCAGCGTTACATGTGACATTGAACACTGATGGTGCCCTAGGAGCACAGCCTGCTTTATACAAGGATCCTATTCAGGTCCCACAACGTCTGTGCTGTTTGGTATCCAAGACTGATAATACGAGGTTCCTGTAAAAATATTAATGTGTGAAATTCCAATGACCTTGTTATAAAGGTGTTCAGCTGTATGTGTGTACATGCACGTGCTTTGTAATTGGCAGCTTGTAAAACAAGGAAGTGGCTGAATTTTTAAAAATGCTCTCTGATCTCTTCCATGTAAATCGTAAGTACGTGTACATGTACATTGCACATATATCTGTTTACATTGTAGATAAATGCACCAGAAGTACATGTATTTGTCTTGCAGATACATTTTTGTAACTGTGTTCTTTGTACTAAAATTAAAACGGGAATACTTACATTAATAAAGTACTTTCAGCTTATGCAAAAAGAACTTGTCTCATTCCCTAAACCTTATTGTTGTTATTTTTTGGTTAAACCCTTCACTTTTACAATACTTACATTAATAAAGTGCTTTCAGCTTATGGAAAAAGGATCTGTCTCATTCCCTTAACCTTATTGTTGTTATTTTTTGGTTAAACCCTTCACTTTTACAAACCTTTTGTCACTCTAACTGGGGAATAACGATAAAGTGTTCTAACCTTATATTAGAAAGGGTCAAAATTGAGGTTTATTTTGCATCAGTGAATAAGCTTTTCAAGACGCCATGATGTCTTGTAACGACACATCGTTCTGTCAAACGTAAACAATTTTCCCCCACTGAAATAACCGTTGGAAAAGTGCACCACGCCATGATGTTAACAGAGGGAGCATCCGGCCGCAAGATTCGAATCGGTCCGGCAAATAAACACAGCCTTCACTCCTCATTAAAACCTGCTGAAAACCTTTCTGCGCGCAGCACTTCCGAACATGAGTTCAAGTTTTTTTTCCTGTCTTAACTGTCCTGCTCCTTCCCCCTCACAGAGGGAGCTGACTAAATAAAACCTTAAGGGGATGGGTTGGAAGTGGGTGTGCTGATTTGTTTTTTTTTTTCCGTACACTGGATGGAGTAGTTATCGTTGGGCACCAGGTTTCAGGAATCTGCCAAGCTGTGAAGCTGTGTAATGTGGCTGTTCTTCAGCTGATGGAGAGGGGCCAGCATACAGGGGTTTTTGCCTGTTTCCAGTTAATGCGACAGGGAGGAATTGACCACATTGATCAGGCTCCATGGATAGATACGTGTATTTCTGCTTTCGTTTGTGGTAACAACAGACAAAAGACAGATCAGACTCTGCACATTACATACACATAGATTGGACGTGCTACTGACAAATCTTCTGTGTCGTTCACATAAAAAATTCCCCTGAAGGAATCTTTTTTTTTTTTTTTTAACATGTAACTGTAAACTGTTTTTAAAAAATCATTCAGTGATTTCCCCCCCTTTTTCTCTTGTAACACAGGCGTCAACATTACCCAGGCAGTTACGAACCACAAAATCCACAGTACCCGAAAGAGCTCTACAAGAAGCGTCGTCCCTTTTTGTCAAAGAGGTAGGGAACGAACACAAGGAGTACAAGTCAGTGTATTTAACATGTATTGTTTGTGTCTAATCAAATTACAAAAAACGTTGTAAAAGGAAGTGCCTTTTGAAACTCATACGAGACTTGTCTGGTGATCGAGGTTTGCTCGATTGAGTGTGGTTCGCGCCACGCTTCAATTTGATTTCCTGTTTCATGGAAGGATTTCCTGAGATATGCACACAAAGTCAGAGGTCGCATTGGAGATAAAATGGCCTTGCTGTTTAACTATTGAAACTTGGGCACCGGTGTGTACATTGGTCTTATGGAAAGTATTTACCTGAACAGAAAAGCACATTGCTGAATGAAAAGGATAGTGTGGAAAGAAATCAGGAGTGAACATTTTATTTCCTGTTTTCTCATCAGATACATGTAAACTCCTACATTTATTGATTTCTATACCTTTGATACATGCACACCTATAGGATTGATTTTCAGTATAGTATTTTCTGCTTGGTTTTCCATCTGATGTCAGAATTATTCCAAGCTGCCCTGCATGGTTTGTTTTTGAATCCACATTGAAAGTAATAAAAGCAACATCAGTCCCCATGCAGAGATAGCAACATCAAGACTAGAAAATCAGATTTTCCAATGAGGAATAAATGTTGAAAACCTTCGTTCGTCCTCTGGGGAGCAGCGAATAAGTAAATGCCAAGAGTGGCAAATTTTTATTACAATAATTACAATTATTATCATAATCATACGTATGATTTATTTTGATAAATGAAATCAGAGTCTTCAAAGCATCCATTGCAGTACACTGTGAAAGCCTGCAGAAAAGGTTTAGAAAGAGATGGTGAAGGTAAACCATATTTAGTCTTAGATGTGGAGAGAGAACTCCGGGTAAATTTTCTGGGGAACCCTGAAGAATCAGTCTGACTGACAACCCAATTCATGATCTTGACCA